ACAGCTCCTCTTCTTCCCTCCTCTTGCCAACTGCCCCATTAACAGAAAAACCTTTTAGGCGCCCATCTGGGAGCCTGGCCTCCCCTCCCTGAGCAAACTGAGATGACCAAGAGGAATGTGCTCCGGGTGGAGGTGGGGGGGCCCACGCAGTGGCTCCTGCCCACACAGCGAAGAACGAGCACAGAGACCTAGTAGCCCCCACCTGGCTGTGTCCCCGCAGCCCACACAGCCCTGTGAGCAGCTCTAACAGCACCTGCGGTTACCCATCAACAAGCCACTTAGGGGTTGGAGGGAAAAATCCTCCAGCCTCCCCCTTCCACACCCCCTGCCCCATGAGGACATACTCTGAATAAATACATTATTGCCTTTATGAAAACTTGCCATGGCTGCTCAAACTTGCCCAGCTGTCTGTGTGCGCTCGGCAAACATTTGCTGAGGCCCTGTTACCCAAGGGGCAGGTGGGGGACTCGAAGGTGGAAAGATAGCGGCAGTTTCCAGACTGGCGGGAGATAAGGCATGAGGATAAGTGATTAGCAAACAGGACCAAGTAAAGTGCTGGGGCCGCAGGCGTGTGTGTGCGTGTGTGCGTGTGTGTGTGTGTGTGTGTGTGTGTGTGTGTGTGTGTGACCCAGGGGCTGAGGGGAAGGTCAAGGTGCTCCAGGAAGTGACAGGGGAGCTTCCCTGGGACTCTGGGACTTTGTAGGAGTCTGATGAGCCGGGGAAGGTGGGGAGGTCAGCAGGGGATGAGGGAAGAGGGCACCCAGGGAAAGGGAGTGGGGTGACACCTATGAGAGCTGAAAGCTTATTTTTTTAATTTGTGAAAAGTACTGCTAGACACCCGAATTCCTTCGTCCTGAGTTCACACTTCCTTCTCTTTGCCTTTGAGGGCGGCGTGGTGTGAAGCAGAGGCCTCTGTGCCGCCTGCAGTCATTGCGACCTGAGTGGAAGGAAATGCCAAGCTGGAGGAGCGTTACCGGAGCGCTAACCCTGCGCCACATTGGGGGAAATGCACCTGCTGTTAACATCTTGCCACACTGGGTCACCTCGTTCCATGGATCGCATTTTTATTGTGTTGCCTAAATGTTTGCGACTGAATTGCTGGCCTGGTGACTCTTGACCCTGAGTGCGTCATAGTCTCTTGAAAACAAGGATTTCTATTTGCATAAGCCCCAGGCCCTGATCACATGCAGGAACGCTAACATGGACACAGTGCTATTGAGCAACGTATGCCATGTATTCAAATGCCCACAACTGTCCTAAGAGCACCCTTCATAGCGCCTTTCCCCGGTCCAGGTCCGGCCCAGCGTCATGGGCCTCTTCCGGACAGTGGCAGACTAGAGCGGCTCTCCTGCCGACCCCCGGGGGACAGTCCTCCTCCCCCACCTCTCGGTGTTGCTTTCAATGGACAGCTCAGGTCCTTCCTGTGGGTGAATGCCTGCGGGAGTGAGTAGAGGCTATTGACCACCCCTTCCCCCCAAGTCCATTGTTAGCAACTGTTCTTCGCAGTCCCCTGCACCCCCATCTCAGGCTGCCCAGGCTGGGGGGACACAGGGTTTAGGAGTCAAGGGTCTGGAAAGGCTTGGGAGGCGGGGCTGACCCCTCGACCGACATCACCTATCAGGTCAGGGGCAGGGAGGACAGGGACCAGGGCCTCTTGGGCTGAGTCCAGTTCAGTCCTGCTTTTGAATCCACATCCTGGGGACTTGCCTTCCTAAGTCAGTCACCTCCTCAGAGAGCTCTGGGACGCAGGAGCTGCCTGCACCAGTCTCCTCCATTCCCCAACCCCCAGCTCCCAAAGGTGTGCCCGGTATAGGGCAGGTGCCCGTTGGTAGCTGTTCAATGACGAGGGCCCGCCTGGGGGTCCCTGGCAAAGGCTGAAGAGGCCTCGGGAAGCAGGTGCACACGTGCCAGGGGTTCAGACTGAGATGTGGCCCTGCCTGCACCCCCAGGGCTCTGTGCTGCTGGGCAGGGCTGGCTGTGGGTAGGAGGAGGGGGGGCCTGGGCCTGGTTTTGCAAGTTGCTTGCTGGGAGCTCAGGGAAGCATGCCGAGGACCTGGAAGAGCGGGTCCATCCTCTGTACCCCCCAGTCCGGCTGCCCTCGGCTGGGCCTTAGCGAAATGGAAGTGTGGGTGGGCGTCCCTCTGGCCCCCGGCGCACTCGTGGTCTGCTCAAGGAAACCACCAGCCGGCAATGAGCCCCAGCCAGCAGGACAAGAGCAAAGGGGACAACAGAACGCAGGGCTAGAGAGGCTGATGAGGGGCCAGGCTCAGCTGTCACACCACATGCCAAGAGTCCATCGCGCAAGCCCACACCTGCTGCTGGACCGCCGGGCACCGTGCGCAAAGGCAGCCTTTGGTCTTGAACTCTAGGAAATGACCAGGCACTATTCTGCGCTGGGAGAGGAAAAGAAAACCCCCTTCACTAGGGTGATAGGCAGAGCACAGGAGGGCCGGGGCTGGGCCTGGGCTGGACACACCCTTGGGCCACACTGGGGGGAGCTGGGTCAGCTGGTCCCATCACTGCGATGACCAGTCGTGTTGGGCTCACACTGGTGAAGGGCGTCTCTCCCAGGGTCTGAGGAGTCCGTGAAGATCTTGCCCTTGGGCACAAAGCAAGGATGCGTGAAATTGTGCACATTCAGATCGGCCAGTGTGGTAACCAGATCGGAGCGAAGGTAAGGCGCCTGCATTCCTAGCAATAGCTTCACCGCGGTCCATGGTGCAGCCAACCAAGAAACTGCCCTCCGTCAGCCGAACAGACAGCATGCACTTGCTGGGCGTTTGATTATTAAACAGCCTTTAATTAGAGACGCAGGAATTAGCAAAGGTTTAAAGGGTTAATTTAATTCATGTTAATTTTGTGGAGTCTCTTGTGTATGATACACATCAACTATTTTTACTTTTATCATCTCTAAGCAATGAACTTTTTATATCTGAAAACAGTAATTTGTCTCCAAACAGTTTTCCAGAGTTTGCTGGGAAACGTTCAACACCATATCACGAAGCTATATTTCCCTCCTCTTTAGGTTATAAAGTTAAAAAGGATCAACTGCTGTTCCATTTAATATGCAACAGAAAAGTCAAAGGTAAACCTACAAGGTTTGTGCCCAGGAGCAATCAGAATTAAAATAGACCTTCTGGAATATAAATGAGTTTTTCTCTTCCCCTCTTAAAATGTCTCAAAGGACCTGGCTCAGTTGGTAATGCTAAGAAAACAGTGAGAGCGCCCAATGCCTCCAGCCCTAATCTGAAGATGACCAATTCTATAGTATCTGATTGTTCTCATTGCTGTTTTTAAATTACTTTTACAAGTATGAACTGTATTAAAACTGTCTTTAAAATTTAAAAAAAACTGGTGAAAGACAGCATAAAATTTACCACCTTAACTATCCCCCTCCCCTCTGCTGCTCTTAATACATTCAGGCTGTTGTATTTAACTATTTAAAAGAGTATCACTCAGTGCCTCTTGCAAACCTGAAACTCTGTCCCTGCTAAATAGTAACCCCGCATTCCTCTCCCCAGCCCTGGCCCCACCAGCCTACTCCGTCTCAGTTTGACTTCTCTAGGTCCCTCATGTAAGTTGAGTCATCGGGATTTGTCCTTTTGTGACAGGCTTGTGTCACTGAGCACAATGTCCTCAGGTTCATCCAGGCTATAGCAGGTGACTGGGTTTCCTTCCTTTCTTTTTAAAAAATCCTCATCTGAGGACATTCTCATTGATTTCAGAGAGGAAGGGAGAAACATTGATGTGACAAACACCAATCGATTGCCTCCCAGAAGCCCCAGACTGGGGATCGAACCCGCAATCTAGGTATATGTCCTGACTGGGAGTCGAACCCACAACCTTTTGGTGCACCAGACGATGCTCCAACCAACTGAGCCACCCAGCCAGGCTCCTTCCTTTCCTAAGGCTGAATATTGCTTGTGTGGGGGGACTGCAATTTGTTACCATTCATCCCCGATGGACACTGGGCTGTTTCCCACTTTCTGCTGCTGTGGATGCTGCTGCTATGCAGAAACCAGGGGTTTAAACCCTGGGACAAAGACGATTACTGCTTGAAGGGAAGCATCAGCCTTCCACACGACAGTGATAAGATGTTCAAACTACAGCCCACAGAGGAGGCCCAAGCCCCCACGGCCCTGACGCTGCAAGATAATGTGGACGGAGGCCCGTGAGAGGGAGAGCAGCCCAGATAGGGTCCTCGCTCTCACTCCAGAACTCTGTGGCCTCCTGGTCAGAACCACAGCAACTACTTATTATTTGGGTCCATAAGAACTTGAAGTTATACTTAATTTGTGGTATCACAGAACTTAACTTCATTGATTCTTCCACACCCTGAACAGTGCTGGTAACTTACTGCGAATAAGACCATGGCCAGAGCAGAGCCGTCATTCACAGGGGGTGGCTGGTGACTTGAGAATAGATGTTTTCATTGCACGGGACGATGGGCTTCTCCAGGGCAATGCAAAGAGGGCGTCCGGTAACTGTTTCCATACTGAGAGCTTGGCATGTATGTACATTAATAAGTACTGTATGTGTGATTGAAGGTGCAATGTGTTTCAAACAGTCACAAGAGGGTAAGCTGTGCATGATTTTAACTGTGTGCACACCTGATCATCAAAATGCACATTGCTTGCATCGGGCAGAGATGTCCCAGTTATGGGCTTTTGGGTAAACTGCATGAAAATAAACCTCCAACCCGGGCTGGGCAGGAGCCTGCAACCAAGGTATGTGCCCTTGACTGGAATCAAACCTGGGACCGTTTAGTCTGCAGGCCGACACTCTATCCACTGAGCCAAACCGGCCAGGGCCTGGAGTCTATACTTTATATGCTTGGAGCACTACAGGTGGAATTAGAGCTACACTGTGATGTGAGATGCTAAACAACAGCTTTAAGGTATACAACAGCCTGAATTTAATAAGAGCAAAATCCAACCTCATGTATGTTGACAGTTCATTTGGGGAATGCAGGTGGGCATGGAATGCAGTCTTCAGATGCATGTGTAGGAGAGGCACAAAGGGAACGATGCCACGGAGAGGATTTATGAAAAGGACCAAAAGCACGTCTTGGGAAGGGACAGGCCGGGAGACCCAGGGAGGCAGGCCCAGGGCCACCTCCCGTCTTCCTGTCCCACCTGCAGCCAACACAGCCTTTTTCGAGTCCCTCTGCGCACTGACCACCCTCCTCTGCTTTCAGTTCTGGGAGGTGATTGGTGAGGAGCACGGCATCGACGCGGTGGGGAGCTATGGCGGGGACTGCGCCCTGCAGCTGGAGAGGATCAGCGTGTATTACAACGAGGCCCACGGTAGGATGCTGTGCTCAGGGCGGCCAGTGCTCACAGGGGACCACGAGATGCCCATGGGTGACGTCCGGGCACCTCCGCAGGACGCTGAGTGGCGGGTTCCCCAAGCCCTGTTCAAAGAAGTCACTAAAGGGGGGCACATGTCTTAACACGTGCAGTTTAAGCACCAGGCTTCCCATTTGGTTTTTAAGTAAAAACCAGCAGCACTTCCAATAGGAACAGAATCTCTGTCGTTGGCAACATAACAAACACAACAATAATGGAAACATAATTTTTAAGGCATTTGTAGATTTGTGTGTTGTCAGGGTCCGGGTGTGATAGTGAATCTCTGTCTACCAAAGACACCTTTTCTTGGGGGGGGGGGGGGGGCAGTATCACAAGGTTCCATTTTGATGAAACATTAATTTTTATTTTATAAATATTTTTCTTGATTTCAGAGAAGAAGGGAGAGGGAGAGAGAGAGAGAGAGAGAGAGAGAGAGAGAGAGAGAGAGAGAGAAACATCAATGATGAGAATCACTGATCGGCTGCCTCCTGCACACTCCCTACTGAGGGTGGAGTCCACAACCCAGGCATGTGTCCTTGACCAGAGTCGAACTGGGGACCTTCCAGTCCCCAGGCCGATGCTCTATCCACTGAGCAAACTGGTTAGAGCGAAACATTAACTTTTAGAAAAAACAATAGTTTGCTGACTTCCTATCTTTCTGCACAGATAAGAAATATGTGCCCCGAGCCGTCTTGGTGGACCTGGAACCTGGGACGATGGACAGCATCCGATCTAGCAAATTGGGAAGCCTCTTTCAACCGGACAGTTTTGTCCACGGTAGGTTTTTTTTCTGGAAGGTTCCATTGGGACGAGAGAAGGATGCCTGCTAATGGCGTCCTCCTCTCTCCACCCTGCCTCCTCTGCCTCTGGGTAGATAAGCACGTGTCCTCTGCCACAGGTAACTCTGGGGCTGGCAACAACTGGGCCAAGGGCCACTACACGGAGGGAGCGGAGCTGCTGGACAGCGTCCTGGACGTGGTGCGGGGCGAGAGCGAGGCCTGCGACTGCCTGCAGGGCTTCCAGATCGTGCACTCGCTGGGCGGGGGCACCGGCTCAGGCATGGGCACGCTGCTCATGAACAAGATCCGGGAGGAGTACCCCGACCGCATCCTCAACTCCTTCAGCGTCATGCCCTCGCCCAAGGTGTCGGACACGGTGGTGGAGCCCTACAACGCCGTGCTGTCCATCCACCAGCTGATTGAGAACGCCGACGCCTGCTTCTGCATCGACAATGAGGCCCTCTACGACATCTGCTTCCGCACCCTGAAGCTGACCACGCCCACCTACGGAGACCTCAACCACCTGGTGTCCTTGACCATGAGTGGCATCACCACCTCCCTCCGGTTCCCGGGCCAGCTCAATGCCGACCTGCGCAAGCTGGCCGTGAACATGGTCCCCTTCCCCCGCCTGCACTTCTTCATTCCCGGCTTCGCCCCACTCACGGCGCAGGGCAGCCAGCAGTACCGGGCCCTCTCGGTGGCCGAGCTCACCCAGCAGATGTTTGATGCTCGCAACACCATGGCTGCCTGTGACCCCCGGCACGGCCGCTACTTGACGGTGGCCTGCATCTTCCGAGGGAAGATGTCCACCAAGGAAGTGGACGAGCAGATGCTCACCGTGCAGACCCGGAGCAGCAGCTGCTTCGTGGACTGGATCCCCAACAACGTCAAAGTGGCCGTCTGCGACATCCCGCCCCCGGGGCTGAGCATGGCTGCCACCTTCATCGGCAACAGCACGGCCATCCAGGAGTTGTTCACCAGGATGTCCGAGCACTTCGCGGCCATGTTCAGGAGGAAGGCTTTCGTGCACTGGTACACTGGCGAGGGCATGGACATCGACGAGTTTGTGGAGGCCGAGAGCAACATCCATGACCTGGTGTCCGAGTACCAGCAGATTCAAGACGCCAAAGCAGGTCTGGAGGAAGATGACGAGGTGGTGGGGGAGGCAGAAATGGAAGCAGAGGATAAGGAGGGTTAACCAAGAGAGGCGGGCACGGGAGCGGCTCTCCACACGAGTGCTCTGGGCAGCAATCCCAAGGCTGCTCTGCTGGGCAGCACGGAGGACCACTGCACACAGCCACTCAGCGCTAGCTCGGACACAGACACGGGCAGGGGCAGGGGCAGGGGGCGGTGGGCGGGGCGGGGACATCACCGATGGCTTCAGGGTCTTCTCTGGCGCTGTATTCCATGCACATTGTCTGTACTCCTTTGAATAGTAAAGTGAATTTATCACAAAGGACTCCCTTTGTCTACAACTTTGTTTACTGTATGAACAGCACGCGCGGGCAGCAGGACAGCACATGATATGTGGGGAGGATGGTACCTTGTAACTGTCAGCGCATCTGGACTCCTGACTCGGTGTCCTGGGCTGCTAGGACTCTGCCCCCACCCCACCTCTCACACTTGCTGGCTTCCAGGAAAGCCAGGTGCCCAAGGGGTATTGGGGAGCCACACAGCTGAGGCAAGTGAGTCAACACCCACCAGGAAATTGTGTAGTCCTTGTGCACAACGCAGCCACCGACTCGACTGGAAAGGGGGAAAGGAAGGGGAGAAAAGTGCAGACCGAAACCCAAACCAGAAACGACAGGCAAAACTCAGGAACAAAACTCAGGAGCACCCACCAATCCACGCCTTGTTACCAGCTTTCAACACACACATGTACTATCTACGTTTCTTACTAGTGTTAGCCTCTGGGACCTCATCGACCACCCTCTTTGGTGTCCCTGCAGCGGTTCTCAACCTGTGGGTCGCGACCACCGGAAAACACATATAGCATATCAGATATTTACATTACGATTCATAACAGTAGCAAAATTACAGTTATGAAGTAGCAACGAAAATAATTTTATGGTTGGGGGTCACCACAACATGAGGAACTGTATTAAAGGGTCGCGGCATTAGGAAGGTTGAGAACCACTAAGGCTACTTTGGAATGGCCTGCCCACTCCCCTCCGGTCACCACCTTCTGAGCACGATGCAGCCCCTGCTCACTCAGAAGGGCACAGCGTGGGCTCGGCAACGTCCCTCCTGGTTACAGAGGACATCATCTCATTAGGGAACTTTTACAGTTCAGATTAATTTGCAGAAGTTGTCATGATGTTTGCAGGATGACACAGCTTTAACCACCACATGGTTTTAATCTGCTCTCATTGCAACAGGACCAAACACACAAGAGCATAATCAAATCGCCTGTAACTTAATTACAGCTTACCTATTTCTAACACGCTGCCGGCCCTGAGGGCCGTAAGGGTTTAATGGCCTACAATTACCACTGAGCTCTACCTTGTTTGCTCTGCGGACAGCAGGGATTCACTTGCGGACACTGGGTCCTTGCCTCCCGATTTGCTTCCATAATCTGCAATTATGAGGCAGCAGGTGCAGGCAGGTTTGGGGGGCTTGGGGGAAAGACATAGCTCATTCTGGGAAACATTACTCTTCACAAATGCATCAAAGGAAAGGACTGAAATTGCCAAGAGAAAATTAAAGTCTTGCGGTCGGCAGTAGAGCAAGCCTTCTATTTAAAAAATGAAAAAGAAAAGTTTTAAACACTTTCTACTTGAGGTTCAAGAATCACTAAAAACACAATCAGATTGAATAAGAAGCTGCACCTGTAAGCTCTTACTTTGAAGTTGTGAACTTCCTTAGATGCTAAAAAGTCCTACAACCTGTGATTACCTAAGAATTCATACTCACGCTTCCTCGAGCACTTTCCTCCTCAAATCTAAAAAGGCAATTAAGTGGATGGGAGGAAGGATATAAATCTAAATTAAAAAGAAAAAGACTTCTGCTGACTTTTATTACTATAAAGATTTTTGTTTGCTCAATATTAATCATTAAAGTATAAAGAAATTCAATTTTAAATGGCTCAATTGCTTTATTTCAAACTAAATAAATTGCTTTTCTTGGAGTCTAACCACCCAGATTGATTAATTTAGTTAAAAATATTTGAAAATGCATCGCATCAGCCTACTCTTTCATATGGTAGAAATAGATTTAAAAAAACAACAACACAAAACAAAAATTTAAAAATCCAGAAACCAAAAGAAATCTGTCCCCTCTGATTTTGAAGAGCCGATTTATTTAGTAGTATGGTCGTTACAGTGACATTGGTCTCTCAGAGACCAACATAGTAGAATCGAATTTTAGAGTTTGTCCGATGCCTTCACCTCCCAGCCCAGAGCACTGCAAGAGATTAACGACAGCCTCAACCATCCCAACCAGTGACTAAAATACCCACAACTAGATCCGATTGGGGCCCCTGGTAACCTGGACAGTTCTGCCAGCTACCCAGCAGGGCTGGATGCAGAGTTTATTTAATCAGTTATCAGTTCACGGTATTTTTCAATCACAGAGAAAGAGCCTTAGAGAATCTTTGCTGGCAGTAAATTTATCTTTTATTCAGTTCCTTTATAATCCTTGCCATGTCACAAGCCCTGTCCCTAAGTCTCACCTCCAATGATCACATTTGCCTCCCTAATAAATGACTCATTTCTAATTACTTGGCTGGAAATTAGCTCTTTGCCTGCCCCTCACTTTGTCTGGTTATCAAAAAGGCCTAAAGGCCTCATGAGTCACTGACTCCTGTTTGTATGAATGATGCTTCCTAGTCCCTCCATCACCAAACAACCCAGGTGCCCAGACTTCAAAACAGCAGGACAACAGCCCAGGGCAAAGGACCACGGGAGCTTTAAGTGGCTTTCAGCCCCGCTCTCCCCCTGCTCTGCTGCTCTCGGCATGCCCTGTGCTGAGAATTAAATAAAACCTACAGGTCAAGTGTCCTGGGGCAGGGAGTCTTCTCCACAAGCCGAGAACAAAGACATTTTCTGGGCTCCTTCTTGGCCCTGCTAAAATTATTATTAGCTGAAGTGCCCTGGTGAGAACTGGTCCCAGGGCATGAACTGAACCGTGTTTCAAAATTTCCTGTTCAAACTTAGTTCTCTATTCTCCAAAAACAGCTAAAATTAAGCAGTTAATGCTGCAATGAAGTTTTACTCTGCCAAGTGCTTCCAAGTTTCAAAGAAAGATAAAAACAAGACACTTGCAATAATACTTCATCCATAAATATTTAATGACTAAATGAGTCACCTCGCAAACACCATCTAACTGTCGTAATCATCACCCCGAGACTGCAGTTAGGAGCCTGGATTTTAATTTCAGCTCGGCCATTAGTTCGATAAGCTGGTGACTGAGGCTGTGCCTCATTTCCTATGAGCAATACTCCCAGAATGTAAAGATTCATTCATCAGACAAGGTTTTAAGTGCACAAGAAAAACAAAAATACTACAATTTAGTATTTTCCTTCTGATCGAGGACTTGAATTATTATTTTCATTTAAGCTACTCGCCAAGCAGCACACTACCTAGAGAGACGGCGGCCTGCACCAAGCAGGACGCTCTGACACGACCTCCACGATTCAAAGATAAGGGGCAGCCAGGGCCTTAATGACATAGTCTGTCAGTTAATGTCATGAAAAAGAGTACTTTCTATTTTGAGACACTTTCAAACTGTTTCCTGTATCTCTTTGGTCCCTGGATATTAAATCTGCTTCCCCTACTTGAGACACCTCGGTTCCCAGGGTCACGGCCCAGCAGTTGTGCAGACAGTTCCCATGAAGACAAAGAACAAGTCCGACAGAAACCAACACAACAGCCGGAGGGGAGCATGTTTCGGTTTATTGGCAATGTCAATCCATCAACAAGACAGGTGTTACTTTCCCCATGAAGTGCGATCCTTTTCAATTTGCCATAACCTGTGCCCATACATCTTCACTTTGAAAATGTAGCATTCAAGCTTTAGTCAGGGTCTAGGAGAAAAAAGAAAATGCAGAAGTTGCTAGTCCTCTGTGTTTTCTTGAAAACCCAACATGAATGGGGGAAATAACCTCCTCACAGTGAATTACATAACATAACTGTGACTTCACTGCACTCGGTTGGTGAGGAGCCTTGGCTCAACAGGCACTTACTTCCCTTAGTAAAACCAAACCCTTGCCTAGCAATAAAGAAACTACTTTGCCTTTAAAAGACACTAAAACCCCCTGTGCTGATGGGGTGGGGGCCGAATCCCCTGCAGGACATACAGAGAATGGCCAACGTTTTGTTTCTGGATCTGGACGCTGCATCTTGACCCAAGGACATCACAAGGTCATGGGAGTGAGATGCGGGGTTTGGCCAGACTATGCTGCAGAGCAGGGCTGTGATTCTGTAAGTTAGCTCACTGTTAACAACAAAACAACCCCACATAAAACCTGGTCTCATCACTCAGAATTATGAGATTATACAGAGAGCCCCTAGAAAAAGGACTAAATTCAAAACACTGTATCTCTAGACTGGTAATAAAATATTTACTAATTCAAAATGAAAATGAGAAGCGCTTAGGGGAGACAGTTCCAATAAGTAAAATTGCTCATAACCACAAGCTGCCAAAGGATTAATATTTATCACATTTCCCTGCTACTGCGGGTCGGAAGCTTTTTGAAAAGCAAAACAAGAAAACGAAATCTGGGAAACATCTCTCTGGTAATTTACTTCACTTATCTTTGAAATAACAATGTTCAAAAAAGTGGTTTATAGAGCAAATCACTTTAGAAGTTCAGAGCACAAAGGTCTGACTGATCCAATGTACAGAACTGTCCTGTGCTGTGCAGAAGGGAACTTATCACTGCCATCATCTTCGGAGAAGTGGAATGGCCAGACCCCCGGAGAGCACAGCACATCTGGCAAAGCGGGCTCACTGCAGGGTCTTGCAGATTCTCCTGCCTGATACATGGCAGGACCCTTGCCTGCACTTGCAGCCCTTCATTAGGTAGCACTATGTGAGAACATTAGCAGGTGTGGGGGAAAGAAAAACACAAAGAACTATAATTTTTCAAGCTCCTGAACTCTTATGTAACGCCAACAGCAATTACAAAAATGGGCAGTTTATCCTCCAGATTATTTGACTTTGTGCAAATGAAACAAGTTTAATTAAAATGAGATGGATCTCTACCTAAGCACGGCTAAGTGAGCTGAAAATCAATGTGCCAATTACTTCTGCTTGTCAGGGCCCCAGACGACATTCTTTGATTTTGCCAAGGGACTTGTATAGCCTGTATGCTTTACATTATTATCCCACCAACTTCTACATGGACTAACTGACCAAAAATGGGACAAGTTCAAAAGTAAAATTACTTTTTTTTAAAAGTACTCTCAAAATTTAAGATGCACCTCTTCTAACTCAATCAGAACTTACACATTATTCCTTCTTCACTTTCACAATTTTGACGCTGCTGCTGGAAGTCTTCTCGGCGCTTGCTTTGAATTCAGTCTTCAGTGCATCCCGCACTGCTTTGGCACAGATCTGGGAGTAGCGGATGTAGCTGAGAGAAAATGAGAGACGATCCAGAGTTAATTATCAAGGATCCAGCCAGACTGGTTGTGTAACTGGTTTTCTTTTTCTTCCTATATTTTTAACTTTGGTTTGAGGGTCCATTATTATAGAACTGGATTTAGAAATGACAATGCCAACAGGAATCCATACAAAGAAAAAGAAGACCAGGAAGAAATATACCAGAGTCTTCACTGGTGTTAGGATGGGTGGGCTTTAGTTTTTGTACTTTATGTTGTTTTCCCCTCTTTAATACATATTAATTTAAAATAAAAGATGCACAGCCTGGCTGGCGTGGCTCGGTGGTTGAGCTCGACCTATGAACCAGGAGGTCATGGTTCCATTCCTGGCCAGGGCACATGCCTGGGTTGTGGGCTCGATCCCCAGTGTGGAGCGTGCAAGAGACAGCTGATCAATGATTATCTCTCATCATCGATGTTTCTATCTCCCTCTCCCTTCCTCCCTGAAATCAATAAAAATATATTAAAAAATAAAATATGCATAGATATATATTTTTTAAAACCCATAGCACAAGAAGCAGACCTAAATGTTAATGGAGTCTATAACATGAGGGATTCCTCCCAATTTCTCTACTTGAAACTTTTTATATTATTCCGACAAGGTAAAGTATGTATAATTAAAAGAGAAAAAAACTATTTTGAATTAAAAGTTCTCCCTCTGATTAATTATTTAAAGGTTTTCCTGAGAATATTGGATCCTGTTTCACAATTCTGCCATTAAACATACTTCCCAATCAAGGTTTCCAAATTAAACTGCACCAGTCCTTTGAGAATATCATCAATTCTAGCAAAATATCTAACAGCCTGCTTCCTGTTTGGTAGATGGACGCCCATCAACATCTTATTTTCAAGATGTCAGCTCACTTGTACACTTTTTGAAAACAGGAAGGGGGGTGAGGGGGGAGCGATGCTGTCTATTTTCTCATGTTTTCAGATTAGGGGTTTTTTTGGCCAAGAGGTAGGCGTTCCAATGCCTGCTTCCACTCTTACTAATTGGGTGACCTTCAGGCTGTTCAATCTTTCAGCTCGTTTATTCACCCAGAGAAACAATAGAATAAAACAGACGGGTAATTACACTCGCCCCACCTGTGGGTGGGAGGAGGAGAGACAAAGTGTGAAAAGCATGAGTCACCCCTTCCCGCACACAGTAGGTGCTTCACACGGAAAGTGTGGTGCCAGTCACAGGGACTGACATGGGGCTTAACGTGTTAATAAACGGTGCCCATTCCTGGGACTACCCTCCTCCCAGTTCTGCAAAGTCAGGCGCTCTGGGGCTGCTCGGCGTCTCCCAGCCTCTACCCACGGGCGCCAATAGGAGGTGCTACTTTATCCGGGCAGGTGAGGAGGTGTGTCCCTTGGGCCAGAGGAAGCAGGAGGGACCGGGCACCCAGCACCCAGAGGGGTCCTCCCCGGGACACGAGCTGCTATGTCCTCAAACGGGGTCCGTATGGGAGCGTCCAGGGGCCACCGCCACCTGTGCGCAGGGCTCTCTGCAGGTAAGAGCAACGGAGTTAATGTACCATAAACATACAAAGTGTGCACCATCGTCAAGGGCCCCAATTTGATGCTGGAAGGCAAACCCAGAAACGGCTGGCAGTGGCCACATCCAGAGGGCTGTCCCCCATTCCTCCAGCTCCCACGTTGTATGTCACCTGCCACTTTGACAACCGATGTCGTGAGAAGGGCAAAGGGCCTGCGCTGAAAGCCGCCGTCTCTGGGGGGCGTCGCGCCGGGGGCGGGGCTGCACCCCACGTAGGCGCGCAGGTGCTCGCGCGCGCGGCCCCCACGAGGCTGCGCCCGCTCCCAGCAGCAGCCGGCCGGCCCTAAGCCCCGGAATGCCGCCATCTTGGGCGCGCTCGCCTCCCGACCCCCACGCGCCCCCGTGACCTCTGACCCGGCCGCCCCGAGCTCCCCTCCCGAGGCCCGGGCCCACCTGAGTCCAGCCTGTCGCCAGTAGGCCACCATGATGCCGCGAAAGGGGGGGACGGTCGGACCGAATCGCGAGGACGCCTCAATGTCGGCTCAGCGCGCGACCCAGCGGCCGGAAGGTCAGGCCTGAGAAGCGGAAGGGGCGGGGCCCCCGGCCTGCCAATCCAGCCGCTCGGCCCCGCCCGGCATTTTCGAAGAGCCTCCGCTGTCCCGCCGTAGATCCCGGCACCGGGAGCCAATGGGAGCGTGCGGCACGGGCCGCGAATGCCAATCGCCGAGCAGGCCGGCCGGCTACGCCTCGTGATTGGCGCGGCGGGTGATGAGCTTGTGCCCCGCGGCTCCCGTAGTTCCGGGCTTTGGCAAGCGAAGCTGGAGGGAACGCTTGGCCGCGTGGTTTGGAGACGGGAGATGCGAAGCGGTGGCTGGTGTGGGGCGCACCCCACGGGGGCGGGGGGGAACCTCCGAGTTTCAGGAACAAGTGACCAGCCCGGACATCTCCCAGAGTCTTAGGGAAACCTGTGCTGTCTGCAGAAGGGGGAGATCCCCAGACACGTGGAAAACCCGTCTCAGCAGAGCTGGGATACAGCCCAGACAATTAAGTGTATTCTTAGGAGGAAAAAAAATTTACTCTGCTATTTACATTTAAGAAATTATAACCAGGCCGGCCGGTGTGACTCAATGGTTGAGCACAGACCTATGAGCCGGGATCACGGTTTAAACCGTCAGGGCACATGTAGGGGTTGTGGGGGGCCTGCAGGAGGTAGCTGATCAATGCTTCTCATCATTGATGTTTCTATCTCTTCCTCTCCCTTCATCTGAAATCAGTAAAAATATAAAAATAATTATAATCAGGAAAAACCATAAAGTTTTTATTAAGAAAGGTTCTTGGTGTAAAATCCACTTTTAATATTAAATACGATAAGATGCTCCTAATCCAAGAGTCTATTCGATGAACACTTCCAGTGTAGTCCTCTCAAATGTATTTGCTTGCTGTGCATCTCTGTCTTTACAGGTAAAAGCCATAAACTACCAGCTATTTAAATGAAAGGAGTAATTACACAGGAAAATAAAAATTTAGAGAATTTTATCATTAGCTCTCACTAAAATCGAACAGAATAAAACTTACGAAACCTTTTTATCAGTGCATTCATTACACCTTTTTCAGAACAAGTATAATTTACAGAAATCATACAAGGCAACTTTAAAATTATATATATATATATATATATATATATATATTGATTTTAGAGAGGAAGGGAGAGAGAGAAACATCAATGACCGGCTGTCTCCTGCATGCCCTCACTGGGGATCAATTCGGCAACCCAGGCATATGCCCCCAACTGGAATCAAACCTGGGACTATTCACTCCACAGGCCGACACTCTTATCCACTGAGCCAAACCAGCTAGGGCATAGAAGGCAACTATTAATAAAAAATCAGTACTTAGCAATATTTTGTTTAGCTGAAATGTTATTTCAATTGTAAAAACTATCTCTGGTTACAAAAATAATCAAAAACCTTATTGAATTTCACTTGCTTTTACAAATGCCCCAAGAAGTCTCAAGCTAAACAATAATTTAAGTAGAAAACACTAATTTTTAAATAGTTTGGTATACTATTTCTGTGGTTTATGTACATATATTACCTGGTTTCTTTTATAGGAAACCTGACTAGAAGTTGATCACATTAAGCATTGTTAAATGCAAGAGCTAATCACCTTTTAACAAAAATACTCTATAAGCAACAGTTGCAAGTATCAAAGATATTTTTTAATGGTTGATAATTAACTGCTACAAAATATGAGACAAAATACATTTACTGGATTGTTTTTCTGAGTGCAGTGGCCCTTTGGCTCCCAAAATGAGGATTCCCCATAAATAAAAATCACAAAGCAATTCATGTAGTGGTTATCTTAGGCCAATGCCTTTCTCCCCCTTTCTACCTCCACCCCTTCAGTGGCACCATATTATTAAAAACAGTAGGTACCTGGGATTTGTACCCCAGATAAGACATCATTTAGGCAATTTCAAGTGATGTACAGCTCCTCATGTAAAAAAGATGTTCTGTGGTCACAATTACTTCAAAAAGTAATTATATTCAAATAACCTGGCAGATCATATTTTAGCAATTACAGAACCATAATTCTGACACATGGCAATTTATAAGTCAGACAAATGTGAAATGCTAAAAGATGTGAACAGCTGCTCTTCTGTTTCAGTTCAGAGTGCTGAAAAATTTCGGTAATGACTTTATTTTTTCAGTTAACATAACCTGCCCACAATACAGCATATAGGTCATAAAGTATAAATCTATGGAAGGTAATATCTTCACTAAGTTACAAAACTTTGGCAAATCAATACAGTACTCTTTCAGAGAATAAAGATGCAGTGAAATATTACTTGAGTGATAATTTTAACTCCAAAAATGTCATTTAAGTACCAAATTAAAACACTGGTTTTTAATGGTGGTTTATAGCAAGCAGAGCAAGTTATTTTATACAAATTTATATCTTTTAAAACTATACAATTTCTCCTTTGAAAGTGAATTCCCTTTTGAAGTTTCCCACAGCAGAACAATTGTGTCTATTGGAGGGTGGCTCTGCTTTGTCCTGGGGTTGGTCCAAAGCCAGGTAGAGTTCCAATGCATGAAAAGCTTTAAAATTAAACCCGAAGGAGACTTAATATGTTAACACCAATTTCCAAGTACCATTCAAAAATTGTTAAATTCTCACATAACTATGGAATCTTCAAAACCAGAGTAATTTCAAACAACACTAATTTCAGATGTTCCCTTTTATGTAGAAACACCGTACCTCCTTGTTTTGATCAAGTCACATACCCTTTCTTCAGCTTATTAAAAAAAATTCTACCTAAAATATAGTTTTTAATGTATTTTTTAAATAACAATAAATATAATGCCAGCTAGTAGAGATCTGGGGGACTGGGTGTTGTATACCACTTTCATCATTTCTCTACAAATGCTGCTGCTGCCATTGGCGTCCTCATGCTTCCTCTTGCTGAAGCCGTCAATTCTTCAATCTCAGCATTTAATTTATGTATTACCCATTCCATTGCTTCTCGGCCCTTAAAAAAAATCCAATACATTTATTGTTACTGAGTGAGACCAAAGGCATCTATCAAATAAATGGAACACCAGGAAGTAGCAGGGGGCATTACAAGTCTAACTAAACCTCACCAGGACAGATCATTTGCTGCTTCTTCCTGATGTTATTTACCAAATAACAAATGCCTTGAGCAACTGACATGCTCCATAAACTGATTTTTATTTTGTATGCAAAAGATGTTCTCCAAAGAATCTATAATCAAGTGACAGTGATGTTTCATTTATTTCATGATTAGTGACCTTTTTGGGGGTGAAGCCAAACCCCCTTTTCCTTCTTATGTATTTGAAACCAAGATCCTATGCAAGTGCTAAACCAAAGATTTAAACCAATATCCTGAGAGATCTGGTCCCTGGCTTCCTCAACCATTCTCTCCTGGCACACTATGCTCTGTGCAGTTCCGTAAGGAGAAACAGCAGCAGCACTTCATTTTTCTTGCCTCAGGGCCTCTGCACACTCAGCTGTCTGAGTGTCAGAGGCCCTGCATATCCCTCACAACCATGGCACCCCTCATGCAGCTGTCACCATCACTCACCGAATACACATTAAACACTTCTACCTTCCTGCACTTTTCCTTTTCTAACGATACACTGCAATGAATGTTGCCTTTCTTAGTTCTACAAGGGCAGGGACCACATTTTTTTATTTCCAGATGTATCCCCAGTCTAGCCTCATACCCTGTCTGGAACAAAGCTGGTGTCTATCTATGAATATCTTTTGACTGCTGAATGATTACATTAAGTGTTATAGAACAGTGCACTAAGCATCCTTTTCTCTAACCTTAGTTTAAATCATGTGTTCTCAATGGGGCAAAAATTAGCTGGGTTGGTGGAAAAAATCTACCTTTTTATGTATAAAGCATTATCTATCAATTAACTACACAGGGTAGGGTGATCAGAAAAAGATGTCTAAAATGGATCTGGGACGGGGGAAATGATAATGAAAAAAGGTTGATAATTGGTGCTTTAAATGACATGGCGCCACGTAATCAAGTATTTCCCACATGCTGGGCCCTGGGCCACACACTTTCCATGTTATCTCATTAACTCTTCATGCCTACCCCTGTGGGATGGACAGTTAACCTCCACTTCATAGATGGTAAACTAAGGCATAGAAAGGTTAACTTAACTGAGCAAGGCTGCTAAGAGTTAGAGCTTGGGCCCGGACACCAAGCTGTGCTGGGCCCCAGAATCTGTGCAAGTACAGCTTACATGGATTCTCATTGTATCATGGCTGAAAATTGGCTTGTGAGGACAAACACATGCTCACCGCTAAGCTCTTCCAAAAACAAAACCCAGGAATAACAGTAACCAGGGGGCAGCCTCACGTACTTTACTAGCATTTGAAGATATTGTGCTCGCCATCAGCCCTTCCAGGTAACTACTGAGGCTCACTCCTTTCACAGTGATGATGGCCTCTTGAGTCAAAACAGTTCTGGAACAAAACAAATTCACACAGTTTCAGAATGATCTAACTTTCATTTTTTAAAATAATATTTGGTAAAAGAATTAAAACACCTGTAAAATAAGTTTGTTAAACCATTTTTTTACTTACCTTTCTGGGTCCTGAGGATGTGGTTTATATATAAGTCTCTCATCTACTGAAACCATATTTGTAAATGAAATCTATAGAAATTAAAAAAAAAAATTCAGTTCATGTGGGAAACCAGGACTAAAAACATTTCCAAAATTAAGTCACAAACCCAAATTTTGTATACAGAACAAGAACAAGAACAAATAAACCACTTTGATATTACTGTGTAGACAAAATTTAAATTTCATTCTTTTTATTAAAAATAATAAATTTGACAAAAGCATTGTAAGAGTACTAACACACAGAATCCCAAGTAATTTTACTGAGTGCTAGCCCCTACAAATGCTAAGTAGGCTCACTGAGTGGTGAGGCTAAGCTGCAAAAAGGCAAAGGCAGCAGAGCATGTGAGTGCTGACTGCCTAAACGCCCACACAGAGCTAGATTCATCTCTTCAACACTAGGAGTGACAAAAACTTAGGCCAAATAGTTTAAAATAAGACAAAAGGAAGCCAAAACTTACATTAGTGGATTTAAGTTCCATTGTTTTCTCTACAGGATCAACTACAGAATGTTCTTGCACATATGTTTTGGTTCTTGCCGCACCAATCAGCTAAATAAAACATCCACAATTAGTAATCAGAGGAGGAAGGATTTCTTAACAAGTGTATCAATATTTTATTTGAAAGTAAAATGTGTTAATGTCTTGAACCAAAAATCTGTTTCGTAAAAAACAAAACAAATCCATGAGGCATCAGACAAAGGTCAGAATGGAGGCCCATCTGAGATACCAGGAATTCACACCCCATGGATAAGATGAGACGCCACACAACACCCTGCCCAGAAGCAATGAGCAAGCAGCCCCCTGAGCGCACTGCAGTGATGACGGATGCCGGACCTGCCAATGGCCAAGGAGCAGGCTGAAACGTGGGACTCAGAGGGTCTGGGAAACATGGCATCTGGAACAAGGAGAGCTCAGAGCACCAGTCAGCACTTTCCTAGAGCCATCCAAAGGAGACGGTGCAACGGCCTCATTCTCCAGGCAGGAAACAGCCACGTCATGAAGGAGGACATCACACCCAGTGTCACTCCCCGTGCCCTGCCCCAAGCCAATCACCCAATCTCCTCATTTCTGGGCCCCCATTACCTAATGCAGTGGTTTGTACAAAGGAAGCAATCAGTGCCTTCCTGTTGCAAACGGTGTACTTTTGTTTACCTTCTAGAAAGGGAACTTCTACTAAAAACTGGATCCACTTATCATACCATAGTTTCCCACACTATAAACTGGCATTCCAGTTTCTTACTGGTTAAATTGAATCACTAAAGCCTGCTTGCTTGAAACTGAATAGAACTCTGTTTTGAAATGTATGGAGAGGAGGCCCAGATCTTGGAACGATGTGCAACAGCAAGGCCAAGAAAATGCTGTTCTCTTCATGTGCACGAACCACCACTGACCACACAACTGTCAGCTAACAATCCCCTCCAAACCATTATTTCCAAATCTTACTGTTGGTCTCAAGTTGCTGGCAAAAACAGGAAAAGTAGGATATTCCTCATTTTAAACTACAGAGCATTAGCTGGCTTCCTTCAGAAAGTTTTATCAGGTGCCTTCATGAAGACTGTAATAATATTTCCAATTCATTATACACTCATAAGTCAAGTTTATTATAATACAATTTGAACTGATGAAAAAATGACATTCAGAATCTGCTCCCACAGCCTATTTGAAATTATAATGTGGTTTGGAAAACTTCTCCCCAGCAGTCACATTTCTGCAGGAATAAAGACACACTTACAGATTTCACAATGGAAGGCAGGCCCCACTCTGTGCTGAGCAGTCTATGGCTGTGCAACTTTCCAGAAGGATCTACATGTCTGTCCAATACATCGACTCCAACCACACTTGGGTTCATAGGGTTTGGATATTTCTGCATTGCGGCTGTTGTAACAGTTTCCCATGGGTGGCTGCAACATAAAGCACAATCAAACATTTAAAAATATACCTTTAAATTAAGCATTTTATAACCCATCAAATTATTCTTTGCAATTGAAGTTTAATATACCTAGGGAAAATTTTCTCAAAAGATGAGTTTAGGGGCTCAATCTAAATTTTAAAAATATACATTTTAGTCTTTTTTCAGCACAGGTTATAGGTACAATTGATTTCTATAAAGATTAAAAAAAAAAAAAAGATTAAAATAGCCTACGGAGCATCACAGTGCAGGTTCTTAAATAATCTTTCCTATTTACCCATGTCTATTTTCACATGAAATTTTGTTTCTAAGAACCAAATTCATAAAAATTATATTCTACAGAATCAAGCAACAAAAATTATACCATTTATCTTTTTGTCTGACCCCAATTATACAAAGCTACAAAGTAACGAGAGTAAAGACCTTATTTGCCCTGTAAATTCTTACAGTGATTACAAAGATTCAAAACATTACTGATTTAAATACCATATTAAAAATGTATTTTTCTCTACATTAAGGTAATAAATAACAGTGACGCCCCTCCAATCAATCTTGATCCATTGCTTTGCTCCGAGGAGTGGTTCTGGTTGGCTTTGAAAAGATAATAAAATGTTTTTAAGATGCTGCTAATATGCTATTTCTTAATATATTAAGATTTGCTTATCTTCTAGGATTGAAATGGAACCTGCAGCATCTTCATCTCTTGAGAAAACACATGTGCCTGGTGATTCAAACGTTCACTCTACAACTTATGTGAATAGGAGGCTGTACAAAAGACATCCTTTTCAAAGGAGCCCTCATTAACTACACTGAATATGAAAGGTGACTTAACTTTCAGAGAACCAAGTCTGACAACTACTTTACATCGACAGAAGGAAAATCTCAAAACCCTGGACAACCAGTGACATTATTTGGAACTAGAGGCCTGGTGCATGAAAATTTGTGCACTCGTTGGGGGGGGCGGGGGGAGGGTCCCCTCAGTCCGGCCTGCGCCCTCTCACAGTCCGGGAGCCCTTGGGGGACGTCCCACTGATGAGGAGCGGGCCTAAACCACAGTCTGGCCTCCCTCTGTGGGAGGTGACGGGTGGGCCAATCGGAGGAATGGCACTGCCTGGTGGATGCCTGGCCCCGCACCCCATTGCCTGGTCACCACTGTCCCCCGATCATCATCCCCTCCCTGTGCCCACTGGCATCCGCCTTGGCTGGTCTGGCGCTGCCCGCTTGCCGGCCCCAACCCCCCGCCAACCAGTCATTCCGCCATTTGGTCGATTTGCATATTAGGCTTTCATTATATAGGATGTTTTATTTTATTTTATTTTTTAAAATACATTTTATTGATTTTTTACAGAGAGGAAGGGAGAGGGATAGAGAGTTAGAAACATCGATGAGAGAGAAACATCGATCAGCTGCCTCCTGCACACCCCCTATTGGGGATGTGCCTGCAACCAAGGTACATGCCCTTGACTGGAATCGAACCTGGGACCCTTCAGTTCGCAGGCCGACGCTCTATCCACTGAGCCAAACCGGTTAGGGCTATACAGGATGTTTTAATTTTTGCTACCATATTAAATAAACGAACCTCATTCTGTCTTTAATATCAGGCCTTACTCAGCAATCAATGCAGTTATGTAAGTGGAGATATTTTATTAATCTAAATAGCCCTCACAAATAGGAGTGATATAGGACAAGCACTGATTATTACCAAAGCAACTATCTAAAATGAAAATTGGACAAACCCTTTTCCTGACTCCATCTAGCCCCATACCATGGTCAGCTAGTCTCCTTGCACTTAACTCTTTACCTTATCCCCTCAAAAAAAATGAGTAATTGCATGGCTTCGGGGTGGTTATACAATATTTGTAATTTAGGCCTTCTCTCCTCTCTGAGCCAACTGGAAAACACCCACGTTGACTTGCTTGAACTAAGACTGCTTTATGAAATAGAACTAGCTCAAACATTACAAAGGAGGCCTATTAAGATGCACAGTCTTCCTGCAATTAATTTTAACTGTCTCAGTGTAATTATGTGAGAAGATCTCACACTGGAAGATACTCATAGCACCAAAGGGCAGTCCGGAGAACCTGGTGGTGGCTTACTGACCTGTCCAATTTCTTCACCTATAAAATGAGGTGGGAGACACTGCAACTCCACTGAAGTAACAACAAATTCTGCCAATCCCAAGAACAGTGCCTGGTAGGTGCATTGTGGGCATTCACAGCTGATGAAGGAGCCAATGAATGACTTCACAACTGGATGCCAACTACATGCTAGGCCTCAGAAGGAAGTGTGGGAAACCAAAGATGGGTACGACACAGAATAATGCCTTAGACCAGTGGTTCTCAACCTTCTGGCCCTTGTTGTGAGCTAACCATAAAATTATTTTCGTTGCTACTTCATAACTGTAATGTTGCTACTGTTATGAATCGTAATGTAAATATCTGACATGCAGGATGGTCTTAGGCGACCCCTGTAAAAGGGTCGTTCGACCGCCAAAGGGGTTGCGACCCACAGGTTGAGAACCGCTGCCTTAGGCATTGTTATTAGATTGGATCATCCTTAAGTTAGATACGTAGGGAAGTGGTCTAAGATTACTGGGAGACAATGACTTTAATTTCAGGTATGGTGAGTTTGAAGAGCCCGTGGGACAGGTGAGTAGAGATGTCTGGTAGGACCTGAAAGTAAGGATGTGAAGTTCAAGACTGGCTGGGCCCAAAGTACCGATTCTGGTGCCCTAATGTGTACAAATCAGCTGGGACCACGATGGAAAAGCCCTGAGTATCTGGACAGAGTCAGGATCAGGACTTCTTCTCCCAGGACATGTACAGCTTTTACGTGAACATGTCTGTCTTCTGGGAGGAGGGCCCCAGAGATTTCCTCAAATCCCAGAAAAGTCTGTGGCAAAAAGAGAAAAATAAAGATTAAGAATCACTGATAAAATGCTAGACAAGAAGGCCGACAACAGAATCTCACTCAATACTGATACCCAAAGGGAACGTTGGAAACATTAAAGAAAGAAGGGCAGAGAGGGGCTGGGGACAAGCCAGGGAAGACAGGGGAGACAGAGAAGACTATCCTCAGGAGGCGCAGTCCCAGCAATGGACGCCCTTAAACCTGGCAGAGGATCACCCCTGGTCCCGAGGGCCGACGGAGCAGTGAAGAACGTGTCCCGGCGGGAGATGATCAGAAAGACTAGGAGCGCAGGGTCTCTGCCCCCAGAACCATAACCAACCAGGAAGAAAAGAAATCCTCCCTGGGACTCCAACATCCCACGCTTCCCAGGGCCCAGCGGGCTCCGAGCAGGTCAGAAGTTTACAACTTCTTTTAAAACTGCCCTCGGGAACACTGTTCATCAGACAGTGAAACTAAAACACACTGCAAAGCTATGAGAGCTAAAACAATGTGGCTCCTCGGCAAGATCACAGAAGGCAGCTCGGAAAAAGATTCGGACAGATCGCGCCCTGGGACAGGGCGGCGTGCCCGGGGCCGAGGCCCTTCCGGCGACGGCAGACCCACTGACTACACGCGTGGCGGGCGGTTCTTTCGTGCGTGGAGTCCGACACCCAGAAGGAGGTTTAGTTCCCAACACCCGCGGCTCCAGGCCATTCCCTCCGTCACTGACCATTTCGGCAACCCAGGCCGTCCCCGAGGGCGGCCCCCGAGGCACCCCGCCCACCCTCGCCCTCGGCGTCCCCGGTGGAGGGGACCGAGGTCACCCGGCGCGCAGGAGGCGGCGCGGCACCCGGACTCCGACCCGGGTAGCTCCTCCTGGCCTCGAGCTGCCGGAAGTGTCGCCTCCAGGTCGCCGGCGCTCGTCCAGTCACATTCCGACGTGAGACTCCACCCGGCGCTG